GGGTGGGCGGCGGCGCCGAGCCCGCGGCCGCCGGGCCCAGCTCTCCCCGCACGGCTGCAGCGTACATGGGCTCCGGGGACGGCCCTTTGAGCAAGGCCGCCTCGGCGTCGCCATCGTAGACGGAAGCGGGCCCCGTGTAGTCGTTGAGGTATCCTGAGGGCCAAGGCGGACAGACGGGCAGACAGCGGGAGGGGAACCGGGCAGCGGGTGAGACACACACGAGCGGACAGCAGGAGACACCGGGGTCCGGGAAGGAGAGAAGGGGGAAAGGACAAAGGAGAAGGGCCGAGGGACCGCGGGGCAGGGAGGATGGAGAAGGCAGGGAGGGGAAGAGAACAGAGGAGAGATGAGACAGGGCCCGGCCAGGCTCCGCCCCGCCGCCCGCCCGCCCCACCCTCGCAGGGGGGAAAAGAGGCACATCTTAGGGCGCGGCTGCCCCCCATTCCACGGAGCCTCAAGGTCAGGGGGGAAGGGCGACGCTTCCCTCGCCCTCCTCCCTCCTCCCTCTCCCCCTCCCCTTACTTCCCCCTCCCCCACCCTCGGGTTCTCCCCACTTCAGCAGTTTTCCCTGATTATGCAACACACTGCAGACCCGCAGCGCACAAAGCCAGGACCGGCCGCCCAGGGACCCTGCCATTCTTGCCTCTCAGGGTTCCCACTGGCTCTTCCCCCGGGCCCTCAGAACCCGCGCCCAGCCTGATGCTGCCCCTCTCTGGTCCTCTAGGTCCCCCAACAAGCCCTGGAGACGTCTAACTCCAGCAGCTCCTCTAGCCCTCACTAGCACCTCTCTCTCATCTTTCAGGTCTCCCACTCCTCACTGGACTTGACCCCCTTCCCACTCCAGCCCTATCTCCCTCCATCCACTCTGCTTTTCCCCCTCTCCCTTCAGTCATCCTGCACCCTTGCATCCTACCTTGTTCCACATTTGCCCTCTTCCTCCAGGCCCTAACCCTTTGTGGCAGCCTTCCCAAGCCCCAGGATAGGCTACCAGGGAGACGCTGCGTTGGAGAGAGTACCAGGGCATCCACCTGGGGACACCTTCATAGGGACAAACTGCAGGCAGGCAGCATCATTCATGCTGATAACGCAGTTGTTCTCAAGACGAAAGATGGATCTCACAACCTCAAAGTCACAAGTGCACACTCCACACCATGCAGGCTCTGGTTTCTTCAGGGTTACACCCAGTCTCCCAGCCGCCCTCAACCGTGGAATCCCCTCACAGAGTGGGCCGCACGCTGATCCTGGCACACACCACCTACTCATGTAGGGTCACACATGCAGCCACCCTGGACAAACTCTCAGCTAGGGTGGCCAGTCACATGGGTGCACAGTGGCCTCAGAGTCACATGGTCCCATGTAGTGGCACACAGGCAGGCACACACTCACACAGGGTCACACACAGTGCACACAGTCACATGGCCACACGCAGTCACATGGGCACACATAGGCACACACACAGGCTCCTGCAGGTCATACCTGTTCTGCCAACCCACACTGGCACTCCCAGCCCCTTTGCCTGCATGCTAACAGTTGTCCTTGAACTTGGACACCCTTGGACAAAGAGCCTCCCCAGCCTCCAGCACTTTGGACCTCCCCTGCCCACAGCCCACCTGCCCACATGCTTCTCCCTGACCCTGGCTTCAGGGAAGACACTGCTGCTGCCTCTGCTGGTACCTTTGCCCTGACAGGAGGGCGGACCCCACTGGACCCCTGCCTACTCCCTGGAGCTCACAGTACTCCTCTGCTGGCCCTAGCAGGGGGTCCCGGGGGGGTGTAGCCAAAGAAAAAATGAGGGTACTGAGGCAGGCCCGGGTTTCTAGGTGTGGGTCTGTATGCATGGCTAGGTCCTGTCATGTCAGCAGTTGTCCATGTGGCTGTGTCTGTCCCATCATGTGTGGGTCAGTGTGGACCTTCAGGCACCTCCTGTTCCTGACCCCTGCTCCCACCCTCTCTCCTGCATTGATACTCTCCCTGCCCAGCCTTGGCCCTGTTCTGGCCTGCCTCTGCAGTCTCCTCTCTCCACCCCCCATCTCCATCTCCCTCCACAGTCGGCTCCAGTCACTGACTCCTGCTGGTCTGGTTCCCTCCAGTCTATTTCCTGGGGCCCTTGCCCCCTCCATCCCGACACTCTAGCTCTCCACCCCTTCCAGCATTGTCCTGGGCCCCTTGCCACCACCCCAGCCTCAGCCCAGCTCGCACCTGTCTCGTGCAGTCGCACGCCGAGGTCGCTGCGGGCGCGCCCGTAGGAGCTCTCGAGGTCTGCCGAGGAGAACGTGTCAAGTTTGACCTTCTTGACCAGGAAGGACCTGGGCATGATTCCTGCGGGGCTCCGGCGCTGCAGGCCTGCGGAGCCGGGGCGCGGGGGGGCTGCGGCCGCGGCGGGGCCCGGTCACCATCCGAGGAGCGGTGGAGGCAGCACGGGTCCCCACTCTGGCCTTCGGATGCTGCCGCTCGAGCGCCGTCTTCTCTCCTCCTGCCTGCCTGCCTGCCCTGCGTTTCCTCCTCTGCTTCTCAGGATCCCTCCTCTTCTCCTTCCTTCTCCTTCCTTTTCCTCTCCTCTCCTCTCCTCTCCTCTCCTCTTCTCTTCTCGTCTCTTCCTTCTCTTCTCTTCTCTTCTTTTCTCTTCCTTCCTTCCTTCTCTCCTCTGGTCCCGGCTTCCCAGCCCGCAGTGCCGCCCCTGGACAGGCGGGGGAGGAGGCTCGGGGGGTGGGGAGGGGAGGAGCGGCTCCGTCCCGGGCCCGGAGGC